AACTGTGGCAAAGTACAGCCCAACAGATAGGCACCCGACTGCAAATGACATCAGGGAACCACCCTGAGTCAAATGAACCAGGTAGTGCAGCACTTGTTGCGGCATGATATTAAGCCAAGTCAGGATGACTGGGATGAGAAGCTACCTCTCATTGCCGGCCTGTACAACAATGCTGTGCACAGCACTACTGGTATGCAGCACCAGGCAGCATAGAGTTTGGTGTCAAGTACGAACAGATGCTGCAGCAGGCTGTTGAGCACATCAAGAAAGCTCAGGATGCCATGATTGCATCTGAGAATAGACACAGATGGCCATCAGCATTTCAGGTAGGTGAACGAGTCTGGGTAAAGTCATCTGAATTGGGACAGGAATTGGGAATTCCCGCCCCACCGACTGGCAATGGTTGATATCCAATGGTATGCAGCAGAGTGAGTGGAACGAGCAAGCCCATGGGCAGGACCACAGGTTGAGGGGCATCGGCGGGCATCCGAAAGTGGTAGGAGCTAGCCGCTAGGGGAACAGGTGTGATCTGGCGGTCAGAGGAAGACTGAAGAGGCGGCTCTGCTATCCAACATACATTTCAGTATTCATATCAATAACCCTGCTCAGTTAATCCCCCGGTAACAGGGCAATTAAGGTTGGAAGGCTATCGGAGGTACACTCAAGCAGCAACAAATGGGGAGGGGCAGAGGATAGAGGGAGGAAAGGGATGGGATGTGTGTAGGCAGAGGAGGGAGGGAGGAATATTCGTTGACCCTAGTGCTCAATATCCGGCACAATTAAGGTGTGGGGGGGCAGAGGAGAGAGAGAGGAAAGGAATGGGGTGTGTGGGGGCAGAAGAGGGAAGGAGGAATTAGCTCTTAACATCAGTGGATATTGCTCAACATCCTGCACAGTTAACCCTCTGGACACCAGAGCAATCAATGCTGGCAGGCCTTTTCTCAAAAAAAGCCTTCAAGCAGCAGCAAGCCCAGAAAGTGGAATTGGGACAGGGTGAGTGGAAGCAGCGGAGGGAGGAAGAAATTAGATCCTAGCAACAGAACCTGCACAGTTAATCCTCTGGACACCAGAGCAATCAGTGCTGGCAGGTGTTTTCTTAGTACACCCTCGTAAGAGATAACAGATCGTCTTACTGTGGAAATATGGGAGGGAGGAACTAGGGTGTAGCAGTGTATCTGGCGCCGGGCTCAAGGTGAAGAAGTTCCCCTTTCCTCCTAATATCCTGCTCAGTCAATCCCCTGGACCCCAGGGCAATCAATGCTGGTAGGAACACCCCACAATTGCTTTTCTGCTGTACTTTAATTTCAGTTTGTATAAGGGACGCTGGACCCGCTTTCCAGCAGGTGATGCTCCCCCCCAAATAATGGAGCCTCCCCCCAGGTGTTAGTGGTGTCTGCTCTTATCAGCACCACTAACTCTGGTGGGGGTGAATTTTCAACAAACAAAAAAAAGAGGAATTGGGAATCTCCTGTAAACTGATGCCACAATATTTTGGGCCCTGGGAAGTCTTGGATATAATAGGAGATCAACCCGTAACGAACCCAGTCTCGTTACCCAATCATGTCACAAATAACAATGTCGTGCAATGCGATGAGCGAATCAATCCAATAATTCCATCAGTTTGAAGTCATTGAAGTTCCTCATTACCACGTGTATGTCTCAAGTCCACAGTACCCAGAAAAGAGAGGAGGGAAGAATAGACAGTTGGAAGGAGAAATATAAGTCCCTCTTCTCCTTCAGGCTCCCCACCTCTGCCACGCCAGCAACATGCAATCAATGTGCCACGCCAGCAGTATGCACTTCAATGTGCCACGTCAGCACTCCGTGTAGCACGTGGACGATGTGGAAGCAGCTTCTCGCAGGTAAACAATCCTCCAACAGCGAGCAGAATCGGCAGTGGCTTCACATCTGAAGAAACCAGGTACGTATGCACGACTAGTCACTCTCTCTCCTCTCCTCATTCCCTCATCGTCATCTATGGTCGTGGTCTTGGCCGCCCTCTCCCTATCTCACTACTATGATATCTGGCTGGCCGCCCTCTCCCTATCTCTCCGCGCGCAGCATCGTAGCTGCAAGCAACTCGCAAGACTGAATGCTCGAGCAGTGGCAAGGTCAACCTTTTGTAGTGTCGACTCGCGCTGTTTGGGGTCAGCATCGGTCCATGTGAGGGCCTGGTGTCGGGCGGCTCCAACCCTACGCCGCCCTTTACTTCCTTTGTAAGGGCGCGTGACAAGATCCTTGCTTGACGATATTCAGGGGCCACCGACATTTACCGACCATGTGGCGGATCGACGCTACGAACAGGAACAGGGGACTACCGACATTTACCGACCATGTGACGGATTAGCACTACGAAGAGCGGGGGCCGACACTCAGGATTGGAGGGGGTCCCGGACAACATAAGACGAAGAGTGGGACCGGCTTTTTCCGAAGGGGCCCTGATCGATTTTCTTCAAGGAGCGGTACCACTAGGGCGTGGGGACCACCTTAGCTCGAATAGGCCTGGGACAGGCTCGGGAGTAGCCTCGGTACCAGGGCGCTGCAAAGGGCCCAGTTCCCGACAGGAAGGCCCTTTTCGCCAGGAACTTTTCGAGGGCCCAATCAGGCTCGGGCACAGGCCCGGTACTGGGGCACTGCAATTTGTCGACAGCCTCAGAACACACGAGGGCCGAGGCTCACACTCCAAGGAGGGCCCGACAGAGCATTTGAGCCGAACCGGGCCCAGATCCGGGACACTTCTCACGTGCACGGGATAGGCGCACGGGACTTCAACACGCACAAACTTCGGCATGCAAGGACACGCGCACGGGAGAGAGACAGACGGACGACAGGCGCTCGGGAGAGAGACAGGCGGGGGACACGCGCACGGTAGAGAGACAGACGGACGACAGGCGCTCGGGGGAGAGGCAGACGGAGGACAAGCGCACGGGCTTCCGCAGATCAGCGGACACGCGTGCACAAGCGCGCGACTGCGCGGGGTCATTGGCTCGCCAGCAGGCACACGCGCACGAGCGCGCGATTGCGCGAGGACACCCGCACACCTGCGGGCACGCGCGCGCGAGAGCGCGACAGCGCACGGGCGTCCGTAGATCAGCGGACACGCGCGCACGAGCGCGCGACTGCGCGGGGTCATCTGCGCGCCAGCAGGCACGCGTGCGTGAGTGCGCGATTGCGCACGGACGCCCACACACCCACGGGCACGCGCGCGCGAGTGTGCGATTGCGCACGCACGTCCACACACCTGCGGACACGTCCACACACCTGTGAACACACGCGCGCGTGAGCGAGTGACTGCGTGGGGAGACCCACGCCCCAGCGGGCACGCGCGCACGAGTGCGCGACTGGTCACGACCTTCTGCGCGCTTGCTGGCACGCGCGCGCGACAGCGCAGCTGCGCTTGACCACCCGCACTCCTGCTGATACGCGTGCACAACCGCGCTACACCATCCGACCATCCGCACGCCTGGGGACGAGCGCGCTTGGCTGCGCAACTGCCACTTAACCGCGCTGCCACTCGGGCACCTGTCGACCAGCGTGCAGGGGCGCGCGAGCGAACATGGTCATTTGCGCGCCTGCGGACATACGGGCAAGGGTGTGGCAGACACGTGCGGGCATCAGACAAGGCGGCTCTTTTGAGAACGCTCCCGATCCTCAGGTGCGGGCGGGTATCTGAAGAGGGTCATCGGGGCTCTTCTCGAACCACGAGCGAAGTGGGCCTTTCGGGCGCCGAGCGAATCATCCAGCGAGGCAGGATCTCGGAGCACGCACAGATCACCAGACAGAACGGGCCATTCGGGCAGTCAGAATACTAGGCTAGGGGGGACATCAGGCACAGTCAGGGCACGACCACCCTGCATCACCCGGACACCACGCAAAGGAGCATCTTTGGGCACGCATCCGGGTCACCGGGAGGAACCGCCCCTCTGATCGGGCTCGGTTCATCAGGCGGAGTGGGATCACCGAGCCGACCGACCCTTTTTGAGCGAGGTTAGACTACTGAGGGCGAGGGTCATCCGGGCACGGTCAGATCGTTGAGCGACTGAACAGGGCCTTTGAGGCACAAATTGGGACACTGGACCGAACAGGGCCTTTGGGGCGGAGATTGGGACACTGGACCTTTTATAAAACAGGGCTTTGGGGCGCATACCGAACCGGGCCCTACGAAGGGGCACAATTCTGAATTGAAGGGGCCACTTTCCGAAGAGGGTCTTACCGAAGAAGTACCTTTCGAAGGGACACATCTCGGGCACGCCCATCTCGAAGGGAACGCCTTCCGAGGAGGCTCTTGTTGGAGGAGTACATTTCCACAGAGGCACATTCCGAACGAGGCCCACGAAGGGGCGCATTCCGGACCAGGCCCTACGAAGGGGCACATTCTGAACACGACTCCGCAAAGAGGCACGTTCCGAACCAGGCTTTTCGAAGAGGTATTTTCTGAAGTGGGCTTTTGAAGAGGTACTTCCGAAGCGGGCTTCCCAAACAAGTACTTTTCTGAAGCGGGCTCTCCGAAGGGGTACTCCTGCAAGGAGGCGCCTTTGGTGGCACACTCCCGCCAGTGAGAACATTGGGAGGCATGGTCAAGGTCGATCTGGATCTTTGGCCCCAGTGGGCGAGGGAAGAGACATCCGACACAGAGAGTTCCAGCACGGTTTCCTGGGATCGACAGGCGCGATACGGGCGCCACCTTGTCGGGAGGAGGATTAAACCACGATTGATGACCAGATCCGTGGGCACGCAGACAGATTTTTCAGACATAGGGCTGAGATGTACGGCGGAGGCAGGGACTAGTGTATCACATCCCATCATTTTGGACTGAATGGAACCACTTTATTTATTCCTTCCAGACAGTGTCTCGTGAGCCTATTGCGCATTCGTCTCGGTCTGCTATGAACCTTGTTTTTGTGGGTGTGGACTGACGTGGCTTGTGCAGGTTACAGGAGCCCCGACCGACCCTCCCGAGGGTGACAGTCGCGGCGCGAGGCATAGGGTTCGGACGGTGAGCCGGCAGACCCCTTCTACCGGTCGACACCGGATCATCTGATCAGTCCAGGTTTCAGTTTGGACTACTCTAGGCCTGAATCTTCCGGAACCTGCGGACAACTGTTAGATCATTCCAGATCAACGGCCAGGAAATCGTTGTTGTTGACTTTGACTTCTCGGATCTTGGCTTTGGTCCACGATTTGACAATTGACTCTTCGGTCAACTGTCAGCTTGGGCCCTTCTCAAGGACTCTTTGAGCCCTCTTTTCAAGGCCTGCCCGTGTGTATCAGTCTGTGGGCACGTCGGGGAGCCCAACGGCCCAATTTGGCACACGAGTTACAGCAAACCAGATGGTCCCTCATATGTCATTCGCATCCCTGGTCATCTACGCACACACCCTGGTTTTCACGCATCCAAGTTAGCACCTTTTGCTGTTCACAACAGTTTCCCTCCAGGCAATCAATGCTGCCCCCAACCATGGACGGACATGTGGACATTGACGACATTGTTGAGCACAAGCTGATGCCTGTGCCCAAGCTTCCAGGCAGGGGATGCCCTCCAAAACCACAGATGCAATATCGAGTGCGGTTCCGGCATCATACAGATCCTGAAGAAGATTGGTGGTTTACAAAAGAGGAGTTAATGAAGACTGCTCCCCAGATTATCTCCAGTTATGAACGAAATTTGAAAGGCAGCATGCTGTGTAACAACTTAGAGGACTATCGAAGTAAAGGAGGGAGTGTGAGGGATTTACCCGTCGGCATAAGGCCCTGCAGCAGGTGTGTGCCCGCCCCAAGTGAAGGCGGGCCCGCTGAATCTCAATGTGCCCTGATCTTGTCAATTTTTGCAAATCTTGGTGGGCGCCAGACTGTTGCCACAGGCCAGTTGGTTACATCCACTTTGCTAGTAAGAATCGGAAATATGCGTGAGCCTTCCAGGCTCTTTCAGCAACGTGGTCGAAGCAGGGAACACCGCATGTTTGTGCCTGGGTGGTTGATCATGCCTAACCAATTCGGTCCCAGGCCGCTGTCTGAACGGGCCTGGGTGCAGACACTTCGGCCCAACCAGAAGCTACGAGGCACACGCGATGCCAAGCAGGCAAGAAGAAGCTAGTCCACTTTGCATATAGCAAAGTGCCTGCCCGGGGGAGAGACATTCGGGCACTCGCGTGTAGATGCGGCAGCGCTGCTAGAGCAAGCGCTAGCGCTAAGGTGCAGGTGAGTGCGGGCGTCGAGAGGGAAAAGGGCACTGCTGAGGGAAGCGCCAGAGCCCAGCCTCCATAGCCAGGGTGGGGCTTGGACATAGTCAGCGGGTGGTGGTGGTCTTTGTGTAACTGGAAGATGTGGGTGAAAAAGAAGAGAGAGAGAGAGAGAGAGAGAGAGAGAGAGAGAGAGAGAGAGAGAGAGAGAGAGAGAGAGAGAGAGAGAGAGAGAGAGAGAGAGANAGAGAGAGAGAGAGAGAGAGAGAGAGAGAGAGAGAGAGAGAGAGAGAGAGATGAGGATAACGATGTGAGGGCACGTACCTGGTCTTGGCGATGGTCTACAAGGTCGACATCTTCATGTTCTTCGGTTCTTGCTGCTGATGTCAACCGGTTGCATTGTCAATTTGTAGGCTGGTAGTAGCAGTGTGATTGTAGTCTGGGCGCTGTGCGCCATGTAGGAGGAAGGGCTCTGGATACATTTGTTGGTGGTGGCGAGAGTATGCTCTCATTGACATTCGGATTCGGTGGTTTGGTTCTTCGTTGGTGGAATATCAGTGCATTTCTGCTCTCTGGACAGCGTTGGACTTTCTGGCTTTCAATGTGACCTTGCATTCTGGATTTCTGTCATTTCGCTATTGCTCATTTTCCTTGCTCATGGATGTTCTTCTGGAGGACATGATTGTTCTGAAGCTGCATACGGTTTATTCTTGTCAAATGTTGGCCATGTCCTGTGAACTGTTTTCAAAAATCAATAGAAGATACCACAGCAAAACTACTGGAGGAAAACAATCAAGCAATACAACAAGTGACACTGAACCTGAACAGCTGCAAGGTGAGTTGTCATGTCATTAACCTTTGCCTCCTCCTCCTCCGCCTCCTCCTCCTCCTCCTCCTCCTCCTCCTCCTCCTCCTCCTCTTCCTTCTCCTCCACCTGTCCTTCTTCCTTTTGATTTTCTTCTCTCCCCCTATGTCCTCCCTCCACTGCTCTTGTTCTCCTCTCTCCCCTTGTCATCTCCTCTTTCTGCTCCTCCCTCCTTTCACGTCATCGCCGTCCACCATTATACGCATCCCTCCCCTCTTCTCCCCCCTTTTTTTTCCCACTCTTACACCTCTTCTTGTTGCTTTGGTAGTTTTCTGTTCCTTATGTGTCTACGGGCCTTGCTCCAGTACTTCCCAAAAAATATGGCGGTGTATCGTCCTATGTTCTAGTGGAAGATTCGTTCTCATTTTTGCACATTTGGGGAGTAGTGGAGCGAGGCCTTTTTTTTTTTTCTTTTTCTGGTAGCTTTCTTTTCCTTGTGTGTCAGTTCTATGTTTTTTTTTTTTGGGTTGAGAAAATGTTGCCCTATCCATTCTGGTGCGCGTCAGTCCAGTTGCTTATCACCGGTACGCATGAATCAGATACAAGAAAACAGACCAGGAACAGCTCAGCCTCTCACCCTTGCGGTACTAGACACGTGACCGAAGGAGGTTTGTCAATTTCTCTGTGTGTCCAAGTTGAACTGCTCAGCCATTTTCAAGTTTTAACCCATTGACCCTCGCTCCGCAACTCACCAAATTTCCCAAATGAGGATGAATCTTCCGCTAGAACATGGGGAAATGCACCGACATATTTGTTGTCTTTGGTGCATGTGGTTAGTGGAGCGAGGCCCATTGTTCCGACGTTTTGCATCTTTCGTTGGTACAGCTTAAAACATCATTCCCAAAGAATAGTCGGGCCTAGCTCAGTTGGTACACCCATGAACTGTTGAAATGCAGACCCGAGTTCGAATCGCGATGATGGAATCAGATGAACTAAATGATTCTCAATTACCTGGGGCTGGTCAGTTCAGTGATGATATCTCAAGGTTGTCACCCTTTTTATTAAAAAAAAAAAGAAAAAGAGCAGAACGCAGATCCTAAGGCATGGCCGGATCTTCCCAAAGGGACGTTGCAACTTATAATGGTGCTATATTGTTGCTACCACCCAAGATAGCCCAATCGTGGCCCAATAGCCTGGCCCACCGAGAGCAAATTCAATTCTGACCTGATTACGGCTCCATTATCGCCCCATGATAGACCTGTTTCCACCACTATGCATGTCCTGCCCCCTGTGACTCAATCAATTCACTTAATGTGGTGCAGAGCACCTTTCATTAATGCCTTGCTGTGTTTGACATCCACACACATGATACTGAGCACAGCCTTTGAAGGAAATTGTCTCACGACAAGGCATTTATTTTCTTGATTGGATTTCTTCCTTAAAATCTGACCGCAATCACAAGAACATATTCTGTCAAGAAAGTCTTACTGTGTGCGCATCCTCTAAGAATATTAAGCCGTTTGTGTTTGAAAAGAGAGAGAGAGAGAGAGAGAGAGAGAGAGAGAGAGAGAGAGAGAGAGAGAGAGAGAGAGAGAGAGAGAGAGAGAGAGAGAGAGAG